CCGTTTTTCTGCCAATATTTCCCGACAATACACCGACACATGTTCCGGGTTGTTATTTCTATTGGGGCAGCCGGTCGCGTTGCAGGACCCAACAAAAATGTCTGCAAAACAGCATGGCATCTCTCCCTCTCTCTCTCTCTCTCTCTCTCTCTCTCTCTGGCATTCTTATGCTCCATCCCCTCCCTATAGCCACAATAAACATTTTCCCCCACGAGCAGACTCGACCCCCCGCGCCGCACCCCCAAATTCGTTGGGTCAATATTTTCAAAAGCCGAAATTTGGAGGTGACGAGAGAGTGGGAGAGGGTGAGAGGGGCAGAGAAGCAGAGTGGGTTGGCCCTCGGAAATTCGCCCGTGCCTCAAATAATGCCCAAATAATGGGGCGAGGCGGTTTGCTAGGTGAAAGGGGGGTGAAAAGCTCAAAACGAGCGCCTTTTTTGGGAAATATTTCCTTCCACTTTAAGAGAGAGAGAGAGAGAGAGAGAGAGCGAGCGAGAGAGCGAGAGAGCATGGTAAATAGAGTGTGTCGTTTGCAAATACAAATCCACTTTGAATAAATAAATCCAAATAACGGATATTCAAATAATCCAGAACCGTTATTTGAATAACCGTACTCCCGGAGTGCCGATTCAAATATATTTGAACATGTTCAAATAAAACCGAGCTTTGTCAAATCGCTCTCCTTTTGACAAAACCTAGGCAAATCTTTCATTCAAATAAGAAATGTCGAATTTCGAGACGAGTTGGGCTAAAATACCAACCGCCAAATGTCGCACAGCCCTGCAACGCCGTTTTTGCAGAATGCCGGCATCAAAAATATCGACAACAAAAATGCCGACACAAAAAAAATTCGATATAGATGTTCGCATTGCATTTCGGAACAAAACCTCCCGTCGGCATTTTCGCGGTTCGGCATTTAACACGTCGGCATTTTCAAGTCGGCATTCTGACAGTTGTTATATTGTGCTTGGCGAGCCGATAGGCACTTTGGTTGTCAGCCGCTGATTCCGATCACCGAAAAACTGGAAACCCTAACAATCCCGAAGTACCGAAAAATACCGTCATTCTTTACTATTCGGCATTATAGCATCTAGACAATGGTCGGCGTTGCTATTCTAAGTTCAACAGAGGCGCTTCTTGAATCCACGGGTGCGATTTTTCAAATTTCATTGAGCTTGTCCAGCTCGGCTTTATTTGAATATGTTCAAATATATTTGAATCGGAGCGGAGGTGGTTCCGTTATTTGACCGATTATTTGAATAATTTCCGGGATGCCTTCAAATAATTTATTTGAGCGGGCTTGAATATATTCAAATAATTATTCAAACACGACACACTCTAATGGTAAATAGCGCTACCTCATTACTGTTCCACTCCATAGTTTATACCTGGTGCGTGCATTAATAGGCAGGTTAGCAGGGATTCTTTAGGAAAACGCAGACTAGCAAAGGTTCCTAGCCATGTGTTTCTGCTGATTTTCTCCCCTAAATCACTTCAACTCCAGGGTTCCGAAATTCGCTTTCTGTCACGCTCCCTTTAAAACGTTCCCAGACTCTCAAATCCCCTTAACCGCCCTCGTCGAAATTCTCCGGCAATTTTCCGGGGCAGCCCCGCGTGTGCCTCATAATTCGATTTGCTTTTTTAGCGACTGCAAAAAGCCGAAAGGGTTCTTCATGCCCCCCCCCCCCCCCCCGCCATGGCATATCTACGTGTTCCGAGGAGTCGCGTGTAGTTTCTTGAATCTCTGCGCGCTCTTCTCAACTTTTTTAATCCACTAGAAAGGGGGGCTCGTGCCCCCTACCCAGAGTCCGTTGAATAAAGCCCTAAAGATCGAGGCGTAGTAGGGAGGGCACATGGCCTCATCAGTGAATTCTCCAGTCGGCTTTCCGGAAGGCACCAAAAAACGGGCTAGAAAAACCCGGGATTGCTACATGGGGGCTACGAAATGGAGTCTAGCTTTCATAACAAGCCTGAAAATGCCAATTTCATGGTGTAATTCTGGAACCAAGTAGCTGGCGTAATCGTTGAAAAATATTCCGGAAGACACCAAAAAACGAGCTAGGAAAAACCAGGCTTCGCTACATGTATTACAATATACGAAAAGCATTTGATAGCGGCTATAAAAATACTAGGAAGTCCTGATTTCATGGTGTAATCGTTTAGACCTAGGCATCGAAGCCCAATTACCTATCGTAAACGTTAGAACTAAGGAATTTAAACTAGGATTTCAACGCGTAATACTTGCGTTTCCTATCGTAATCGATGAAACAGAAATTTCCTTTCGCAATCGATTAAGCAGTAATCGTACTATTTAACGTCGTAATCAATTAAACACCCAAAGTCGTCAATAATTTTCTAGCGTAATCGATCCACAAGAGGTTTTGACTACCGCGTTTTTCATGCCGTAATCAGATCACCCTCTCCAAAAACGCTAATTACAGGACGTCATCGTTTAAACCGACGCAAATTAGAGGCATTTTCAAGCCAGAAATGAAATGGCGTAATCCATTATCGGATTCACCAGTTATTAAAGGGCCATAGAAGTCAAGAATTTCATAGATTTTCCTAAAATTCCGCGTCAGTCCCCCGGACGCCCGCCCCAAGCGCTTTGCCCCTTTTTCCTAACAAGGCTAAGGGAATGTGTGTGTATGCATGCTTGTGTATGCGTGTATGCGTCTCGGCCACAAGCCATGCCAAAGGCGCCTCATCAAGAACCCCTAGCCCTAGCCCCTTGCTGCCCCCAGCCTTCCGACGCCGTTAGTAGGTGTCTAGCGGACACAACAACGTCGACGTCGTCGTCGGCTTGTTCTCGTTCTGTTGCTCGCTCTCTCTCTCTCTCTCTCTCTCTCTCTCTCTCTCTCTCTCTCTTCCTGGTTGAAGCCATTTCCCCCTTATATGCCCTGGGGCTGGAGCTTGGGGCAAATTGTTTGTTGTTGCGGTTCGCACATAGCAAGTTCACTGGGGTAGTTGATCGATTGGATTCCTAAGGAATGTCTGCTAGCCTGCCTAGCCTTGGAAAACTGAAGATTATCCGCTTACAGAATCAAAATCGAAAACCAGGTCGAAAATTCCCAAAAAATCATTACTAGATCGCCTAGGAAATGAAAACAAATGTAACTACAAAAACAGCTACAAAAATTCCGCAAAAACCTCTGCTAGCTTTGATTAAAAAAATGTGTAACACGAGCTGAACTCCACGAATATGATCGATAACTCAAATCGCTCAAAAATCCCAAATAATCCCTGCTAGCCTGCCCTCGACTATAGACTTTTTCGTTGTCAATCCCGACTCGCCTCCCAGGCTTTTCTGCCGGACCGGTCAAATTGTTTGTTGTTGTCGCCTGCCCCATCCCGACATCGATTTAACGACATCTTTATCACGCTCTCTCACTCTCTCTCTCTCTCTCTCGCCCCAAACAAAAATTTTTGCCACCAGCCCCAATCTCGGCGCATTGTGCGAGGGTTGCACAAATTTTTTTGGGTTGGGAAACGGATAGCCGAGAAAAGCGAAAAGAAGAAAAAGAGGCTGCAAAAGTTGCCCATCACCCAGAAAAAGATAAAAAAGAGATTTACGACAAAGTGCAGAACGGGCGCTAGGCGGCGGGATTTTTCTCATTTTTTTTGGTGGGTCAACAGATACGGAAATAAAATCAGAAAATTAGAAAATTCCACAAAAATCTCGGCTAGCTTGCTTTTAATTCGAAAAATATCTCTGCTGGACTGCCTCCAAATTCCCAAAAAATAGCTGCTAGCTTGCCTCATTTCACTAAAAATCGTGCAAAAAATTTGGCTAGCGTTGCTTAATTAAAAAAAACCTAGTTAGCTGGCTATCAATTCCCAAAGAATATCTGCTAGCATGCGACCGCAAAATTTGAAAAATTCCTAAAGAATCCTTGCTAGCTTGCCCTTGCCAAAACATTAAAAACTATCATGAAATATCAGCCCCATAATCACCTAAATTTAGCATTCGGCAATTCCCTAGCATCCGCCGCTTTTCCCGGCATATTTAGCCGGAGGGCATATTTTCGCGGCGGGACCCCAAAAGGGGTGAAAGGCGGAAGACGGGACAGCGAATTGAGATTGCAGTTTTCGATAAGGACCTCAAGGACCCGGGGGCGGATGCAAAATTTGACGTGAAAAAGGTGGGATGTCTGCTTTTTTGGGGAGCGTTCAAGAAGATGATCGAGAAGCGGATGTCTGCCGCTGATTTTATGGCATTTAAGGGCTTGGAAAAGCTACGGCAAGCTTTTTATAGTCGTACTGTTAAAAAGCAAAATCATCCACTAGAAAAACAACAAAAAACCTCGGCGGGGATCGAACTCGGGCCAAATTCCTGGTCGTCAAACGCACTATCCACTGCGCTATCGGGAAAATATAGATTTGGACGGAAAATGCAATAATATGGGTATCATTCCACGCAGAATCTTACGGCGAGTACGCTACAGTACACCATTTCGCCCCCAAAAGTGACTAACGTAGCCAGATCCCAAAAATCAGAAAAACTCACCTCCAACCGAATTCTAACAATATGGGTACCATTCGACGCAAAATTTCACGGGGATGATGGTAAGGCACATATTTTGATGAGTAAAGCCAATACCGTGATTCTACTCCAGAAAAAAACGCCAAACACCTCAAAAATCTAACTTTCTTCCCCCTGCCATTTCTCACCGGGCCCCCCGCCCTTGCTATTGCCATTCCCGACCTGCCAGAGGAGGAACCCAAAATTGATGGGCCCCAAAAGGGGGTGAGTGGGCCCTTGCTTGTCTCTCTTTCTGGGCCCTTAGCTGGGCCCTCTCGCCCCGGGAAGGTTGATTAAAAATTCATAGCCGAATGGCCGCGGCTGCCTGGGCTGGGTGGCTGGACAACGCACCCAGCCACCCAGCCAGCCGCTCCTTCGTGATGAGGAAATAAGCGGAAGGGGAGAATGGGGTGATGAGGGTGGTAAATGCCCCCATAGAAATGGGCCCGTTAAAATTGAGATCGCCGCCGCAAAGGTCAAAAGGCCACGGGGTCGAGCAGTTCGGGCAGCAGAGGGAAATGTTGCAAAAATGTCGTGGCCTTAATTTCGAGCATATTGGAGATGATCAACGACTTGGAAAGTTGGCAGCTAATTCAAAAAAGGCTTGAAAATGCAATGCATTACTAAGAAAACGACTTCAAGGGGTTCAAAAAAAGCAGAAAAAGATATCTGAGAGAGAAACGGAGAAAAAAATATGAAAATTGCTGCAACCCTCGACTTCAAGGAGTTCAGAGCGAGTTCAAAAGAATATGTCACGATCCCAAAAATTCGAAAACGACGAAATGAGCCAATCCCCCGACTTCAAGGAGTACAAGTCTTTTTAGAAGGTAAGTTAAGGGAAAAAAATCGTGGAAGTACTTAAAAACCAGAAAACCCGAGTTCAAGGATTTCAAGTTGGAATCTTGGAAGGCCATTGCGGAAAAATCGAGGAGATATGGAAATCAACAAAACCCGACTTCAAGGAGTTCAGTCGAGTGTGTAAAAATCAAGAAAATGAAAGAGAAAAAAAATTCCAAAAAAAACCAGGAAAGACTCACTATTAGACTTGAAGCTCTCCTTCTTCAGCCACTCTTTCAGCTGCTCCCTGGGGTTCTCCAAAATGTCCTCGTCAAACGGGAAATTCGGCGTGTAAATCTTCCAGTCCTCCGCGTAGTCCGGGGAGTTGAACATGAACATCTTTCGGATGGAGGCCATGCCGAAATAGCACTGCGAACTCGGCACCTCATCCTCGACAAGGCCACCCTCTTTCGGGGGCACGTTGACGCCACGCTTCTTGTCGTGGTAGAAGAACAGCATCTTGCTGAACAGGTTCGGGGTGTGTGTAAATTCGCTTAGCGATTTTTCAGAGGGGCGCGCAACTTTTAAAAAGTCCTCGAGGGCGCACAATCCCAAAAATCAATAAAAAATTGCTAGGAACCTTTTAAAACCCATCAAAACGCGCCAAAAATTTTTTAAAGGAACGCGCAAGCTTCAAAATCTGCAAGAATCCCAATGGGAATCATTTTTAAAGGAGCGCGCAACCCTCAAAATCCATAAGAAGTAAGATAAAAGTTCTTAAAGGCAAGCGCAACCTTCAAAATCCACAAGAAGTTAATAAAAAAATCTGAAAGAAAACCGCAACCCCAAAAATCCACAAGATTCCCCGGGGAATAATTTTAAAGGGACGCGCAACCTTCAAAATCCACTAGAATTAATAAAAATATTTTAAAGAAAAGCGCAACCCTAATTTTTAAGGGAAAAACCTTAAACCTTAAAAGCATTAGACCAACGACCAACCGGAAGCTCATCTCCAGCGTGTCCGGGCGTTTCGGCTCGTCCCGGGCGCGCTTCCCGAAAAAGTGGTACATCGACGAGCCGAGGAGCAGGTAGGAGCCGGACATTCTCGTCAGGTAATTATAGTTTTTCTTGAGGGCCAATAGGGTGGGCATTCCGATAGTGGTAATGACGGGGATGCCCTCGGAGAGGATTGGGGAGATTTTCGCGATATTGGCGAGGGCGTAGTCGTCGGCAAAGCCGAGGATCGCGTCGAGTCGATTCTCGGTGTAGGCACGGATCATGCCGAGGGCCGAGACCTTTTCGGCCTGTACAGAGGTGTCGTCGGCCCACAGCTGATCGTCCCAGTAGGTCAGGTTGGCCCAACCCTGCGGGAGAAGGCCCATTCGGACGACGTCCTGAATTTTAACGGGGGTGTTGAAGGGAAAAACGTTGTAGATTTTGGAAAAATAAATTTTGAAAGTCCTTTAAAGGGCCATTGAAGGCAAAAAGGCTGTGGACTTAGCATGAATCCAAGCTGCTTAAAATCTTTTAAAGGCCCAGTAAAGGCAAAAGACGCTATAGATTTTTCTAAATCGCAAGTTTTGAATGTTTAAAGGGCCATTGAAGACAAAAGTACCTATGGATTTTGCAAAAAGGAGGTTTTTTAATGTTTTTGCAGCAAAAATTCTTAGCTATATTCAGAAGCTACTTTTAAAGGACCAGTCAACGTTAAAATCTAATCGCCAAGACCCTTTAAAGGACCACTGAAGGTAAAAATTCTAAGGATTTCGCTAGGGCTAAAAGCCTTTTCAAGGGCCCGTCAAGGCAAAATGACTATAGATATTGAACATCTCAACATTCTAAAGCCCTCTAAAGGCCCATGTAAGACAAAAAATTATGGTTTTCCAGAAATTTGGCTAGACTACAAACTACAGGCTACAAATTCCATTTTTCCGCCCTCTCACCTGGACTGCAATATCGATGACCGGCTTACAATTGCCGATGGTGAGCCCCATCTCGTTGTTCTTGCTCTTGAACATGGGCAGTATCACGAGAATATTAATAGGGAATGGGGGTGGGGCATATGTTTGCGCCGTCTCCTCCTCGAATATGCGATAGAGGTCGGGCTCGGAATTGGAGCGCGAGAGCGGACGGCGGATCTGATCCGCGCCGTCATCAGGGCTAGGGGCGGAATTCTCGGCATTCGAGAATTGTCGACTTCTTCTGGAGGGTGAGGCCGTATCGTTGAGGTGGCCGAGGAGGGGCTCTTCTAGAAATTGTGGGTTTCCGGGGGTTTTTGGGGTCGTAATTTGGCGCCGAGCGTCATGGTTGTCTTTTCGGAGTGAGTAACGGATCCCGGCTATGGTTTTTAATAGCGTAATCGGTTCCAAAAAATCTACTAATGTTTAGGGCGATCGGAAAACCAGAAATTCCACAAAAATCGCCCGAATCATTTTACTAGCGTAATTGGTTCAGGAAATATATAAAAAAAGATCTATATTTTAAAAGGACCGGAAAGCTGGAAAATCCACAAAAAAATACCAAGATTAATTTTACTTGCGTAATTGGTAAAACAAATATTTTGGAGTTTTTGTAAGTTTCTACGCTAAAATTTTGCATTTTAAATGGTCAGGAAAAGTCTTAAAAAATCGCCAAAAAAGTTAAATAATCTCTTGAAGCCGAAATCCCTTACTCACTCCTAAAAACGCCACGAACGCTTCAAAAAAACGCCCCAGAATTCGACGCACCATCCGACTGGTTGTTGGCGTTGACGTCAAAATGGCGTCGACGGCCGGGCGGCTCGGCGCTGACGGCGGCAGCCCAGCAGATGATCAGGGCCGCGGCGCAGATGAGGGGACGGCGCCGCCGCATCGGGCATACCGTAGGAATGGTGGCTGTAGTGGTATTGGTAACCAGGGTACGGTAGAAAGGGCACGGAATAGAACGTTCAAAAAACGTATTGTTGGCGGATAGAGGTGGAGAAAAATTTCTGACGGCTCGCCGAGCCGGGAAAAGTGATTTGCATAAAAAAGACTATTAAAAATCTATTTTTAAAAAAACGATAAAAATTTCAATAATGCTGCAAAATTCTGTTCAAAAATCGAGGCGTTTCTCGCATAAAAAAATCGGAAATTATTGAATTTTAATGTGTTTAAAGAGGTGCCTGCAAATATCAATTAAAATTCAAAATATCGTGAAAATCTTGCTTTGATGCGCCTTAAAAGCAGCAAAAAAGCGAGGATAAAATTTCAAGCTGAAAAGCTGAAAAGTTATACATTTTCCTATGACGATTCTAAAAATTTTTACAAATTTTAAAGACAGCAAAAACTAATTTTTAGATTTTTCTTAGTATTTTTAGCGCCTTCGAAAGGTTTAAAAGATCCAATTAAAGCTAGGAAGCCCTAGAAAAATTCAAGATTCTTCCAAAAAAACCCAAAATAAATTTTTTCAGCCATTTTACGCAAATCAAAATTTCCCAGCAATTTGGCAGTGCCCGAAAATCCAGGAGCCAACTTAGCAAAAACAAAAATAATATTTAAAAATCGAATTATCTGGCTGTGTGTGTGTGTGTGTGTGTGACTGGGTGGGTGGGAGGGCATAGAAAACAGAGAGAGAGGGTGGTCTGGTCGTTTTCCTGGGGCAGCAGGGGGGCAACCTTTCCCCCTTCCAAAGCCCCGCCCCATTTCCATGCTTCTCTCCGCCCTCTCCGTCATTAGGTATCGCCACGTAGTCTCTGGCATATTTCCTTTATCTCTGACCCGGGGGGTTCTCTCGCTTTTTGCTGCTCGCGTTTTTCCGCGTTTGCCGCTCCTCCTGGCCGGGCGGTGCCCCCCGTGATTAATGAACCGGGCACACTAACACTACACGCAAACACACATACACACGCGTGTATTGAGTGTTGTTCTGGTTTTCTCACTCTCTCGCTCTCTCTCTCTCTCTCTCTCTCTCTCTCTCTCGCCGCCCATCCAATTCCAGACAATTACCACCCGCGGAGTTGCCATTTCAGCAGCTGCGGCCAAACGCGGAATGAATTTGCCGCAGAGATTCCGGGCCGTTTTTTGGTGCATGGCGGAGTTTTTACATCCTAGAATTCTAGAATGTGCCCTGTTTCCTCTGCAATGGTTACGGTAGCTTTGCATTATGTTCTAACTTTATAACCTTAATAATACAGTAGACGGTACGGTACAAGTTTAGTGGTCCGGTTACGGTATATTCGCGAGACCAGCAGCCACGGTATTACGGTCATCCGTCGTGAGTACAGTAAAGTAGTAGAGTATCGTAGTACGGCAGAGCTTACACTAGGATACGGTGGGCATAAAAAGTCGGTAGGCACTTTTATAGGATCAAAATTACCTAAAAAACCACATTAAAACAGATTTTCAGCATATACAGAACTTTCAGAGACCGCGGTATTACGGTCATTTGTCTTGGGTACAGTAGCGTAGTGGTATAGCCTATTTTCAAAAATTTATTCTGGAAAAAAATCATAAAATACAAATCTGACAGTTTCATTAGATTTTTTACTGCTTTCATCCTTTCAAGACCCAGAAAATTCAAATTCCCCCCTAATTTTCGCCCGTCATTTGTAGTCTAACGTCGCGTCGGGATTTACCTTTTTTGAGGGTGTCAAAACCCATTCAGAGCTTTCTGCACGATTTCGCGCTTCTACCATACCTTTAAACCCAGAAAATCCAAGCTTTTCCCCCTAATTTCCGCCCGTAATTTGTAGCCCAAAGTCGCGTAGTGTAAAAACAAAGTTTTTCGGAACTCAAAAACCCTTTTCCAGAGACCAGGTTGGTCGCAGGGCGGCCGGTCGTTGGTGGTTTCCATGGTTTAGTTTCCCGGGAAATTCTAGGTGGGACCCAAGCCACCTCGCAACAACCACTGCCCCGCACCCTACAATTTGATTTTGCACCTGGCCATGGGAGTTGAGCACGACCGGCCGGTTCAAGGTTCACGGGATAGAAAGCTGAAGCGAGGTCCGGGCGCACCAGTAATAATAATTAATCAAAAAAAAAACATTAAAAAACCTAAAAATCCCCAATGATCTTTGCTAGCTTGCTAGCTCTGAATTCCAAAATTATCTTTGCCAGCTTGCCCTTTCGATTCCTAAATTTACCCTGCTAGCCTGCCTAACCTCAATTTCTCAATAAATCGTGTTGGACTGCGCCGAATTCCCAAATGAACCCTGCTAGCCTGCCCCAATTCTAAAATGATCTCTGCTAGTTTGCCTCTCCAATTCCCAAATATCTCCACTAGTTTGTCGTCCAATTCCTAAATAATCTCCGCTAGTTTGCCTGCAATTCCTAAATGATCTCTGCTAGCTTGCCCTACGTTTCCTAAATAACCACTGCTAGCCTGCCCTCTCCTTCCTAAACGATATCTGCTAGCTTGCCATTAAGTTCACCTCCAAGCTACGCAACACGCCAATTGACGCCTCCCGCCGTCATCACAAAATTACAGTATTTCTCCCAACTTGCATGGTCCTCAATTTCAGCAAGAAAAAAAAAACAAAATTACACCCCTGAAACCTCTAAATTACGCGCCATTTTTCGCCGAAATTCGTCAATCTCTGACCGCAACGCTTCAAGCCGCCGGGGGCCCAAATTGGCATCGGCCGGCGTGGCACCCGGAAATTGGCCTCGTTCCGCAACTTTCCACACGACGCTCAGCCCCTAGCAGGTAGCTCAAATAAATGGCGTTTCGTGATTTTCGTGCCGGGACCCAGGTTTTTGCAGGGCATCCCGAAATCGCCGCGCCGGGACCCCGGGGTGCAGTCAAATTTGGGCGGGGGAAATCGGGGCGCTTCCTGAATTGCAGGGCGAAGAGCGATTTTTAGGATTTTTGCGTATGGACGGACCGAAATATTTTACGGGACTTGGCGGCGGGACCAGAAAAGCAGTTCCCGGTGCATTTTTGCGATTTATAAGGAATACGGTAGGTAGAATTGCAATTTTCTACATCAGTAGAAATGCGCAGAAAGCGTTACTTTTTGCATTCACGGACCCTTTAAACTTTCAATTCAGGAAATTTCCTCAAGTTCCTCTGCTACGAAAAAAATTCCCAAACGATCTCTGCCAGCCTGCCCTTTCCTAAACAATCTCTGCTAGTCTGCTCTTTGCTAAAAATCCCTGCTAGCTTGCCCCTTCCCAAAGAATCTCTGCTAGCCTACCCTTTCCTAAAGAATCTCTGCTAGCCTGCCCTTTCCTAAAGAATCTCTGCTAGCCTGCCCTTTCCTAAAGAATCTCTGCTCGCCTACCCCGTCGATTTATCACAAATTACGCCCTAAAACCGTCTAAAAATACCCCCCAAAATCATCGTCATCTGTACAAAAAATTTATTGCCAAATCGTGGCAGGACAACGATAATCTGCGGGTGCTGTGGTGGGGCAAAATTTCGGGGGTAGAGAGACATGGGGGGAGGGAATTTTTCCGAATTTTTTCCAGCAGCCCACCCGAATGGGAACCGTTTGTAAACAAAACGGCGGCCGCCAGCCAGCGTTCCCGAATTCTTTTTGCGGCGGGAAAAACGACCGAAATAATACATTTCAAAAGTCGAAGAATGATTCATGGATATTGAGGGGGTTATTTTTCTCCTCCAAAAAACGGTCAGTCTCCTCAAAAAACTCTGCTAGCCTGCCTCAGTTGCTTTGGCCTAAAATAACAGAGAAAAGAGAATTCCTAAAGAACCTCTGCTAGCTCTCCCATCATATTTATCTTAATTGGGCCCTAGTTCTAAAATCTTTGCCAGATCGCCCCCTGTTTCTACTGCTAATTTCCCTAAGGATCTCTGCTAGCTTGCCAGCGTCAGGTTCTAATTCAAAAATATTCCGAAAGATTCTCTGCCAGACTGCCCTCAAAAATGGCTTCTAAAAATTCGTTCCTATCTAGTGATTTTCCCAAAGAATCACCGCTCGCTTGCCTTGCGCTAAAAAATGCATCCGGAAAATCCCAAATTCTCTCTGCCAGCCTGCCCCAACTAAAACAACAGCGTCCAGCCAATCACAGCCTGCAACTCGCGACGAGCCGGGATAATCGGAGGCCCGTGCCGCGTATGGATAAACTGCGCATTTTTGCTGTCTCGCTCTCTCCCTCTCTCTCTCTCTCACTCTCTCTCTCACTCTCTCTCTCTCATCATTCAGCATTAATCACCGAGCGCAGCAGCAGACCTGGATCTGTCTGTCTGTCCATTCCTATATCCGTCTGTCCGTCTGCACGGTGTGCCCAATTTTTCTGCAAAAAAGAATCGACCCCTTTCCGCTCTTTTGCCTCGCCACCGGCCACCGACCATAAAATGTTATGGGGGGAAATCGGGGCTGGCAACACGGCGGGCCGCCAACCTGACCAACCCGAGTTTGGTGACTTTTTTGGAAGTAGACGCCAATTTCAAAGATCTCACTACGAGACAGTAATCTCAAGAAACCCCATCAAAAATGACCGTTAGAATATTTATACGTCAAAATTAACTACCGTAGCCTCGAAAAATTGCAAATTTAAACTCCAAAAAAGGGCTGCCGTACCTGACAGAACGGAAAAGCCCCAATTAAAATAGCAGCGGAAAAATTAAATACTGTAAACCGGAAAATACGAAAAAATAAACGCGTTAAAATCAAGTTAATTGTGCCGTAACCTGAACTGTTTGCTACCTGATCGCTAAATGCAAAACTATAATAATGTAATTATCCGGAATACCGTAACCATCGTAATCGGAAAGCGCTAAATAAACTCGCAGCAGCATCAATTAATTACAGTAAGCCCCGAAATAATCTAACTTTGTATTTCCATATAATTATGCCCCACCTAAAAAAACGTCAGAATATTTCAAAAAACCCAAAATTTTGCCTTCCTGGTCCCTTTAAAAATGTTATAAAA